TCAAACCGGATAGTTGCCTATTGACCCAAGTGTCTTTGTGGACACCAACAGGATTCTGTTCCCTCGCAACGAAGAACCTCAAACTCATTCTTGTCCACCGATTGTCGGCATGCAGAAGAGGAGTGGCATTATGCTTCTCTGGACAAGTGCCTGAGGACTGGGCCTGTTGTGCTCGAGCCAGCACTTCAGAATCTTAAAGAAGCGGATACGATCGCTGGGACAGGAGCTTTATTAGCATTACGTTTCGGATTCCTGCTCGAACCCATCATCAGAGACAAAAAGAAGATACGGATGGTTCATGCGCCAGAGGCTGCAGTATTTATAGGATGCAGTCACCATGATACCGCATATTTATGAATGTTCACGGCTCTCTCCTCATCAGGGATCGTTACGATTGGTGTGCTGACTGTTTGATGGCCGAAATTCGCGTCGTTAACTGCTGCAATTTTATCACGCGCGTTGGATGTTGGTGTGATCCACCGACCCTGGAATTGATGACAGTATTCACCTGTGCGCTCCCTGCGTGGCTAATTACTCCGCCTATGATAAGTCTCAGCACCGAATATGGAAGGGGAAGGTCATTGCACTTGTTAATGGACGGGGGCCAGTGAACCATGACTCATTCAGCGCGCGACCCGTCGGGTTGTCACCTATAGTGACACTTTCAGCCTCTTCGAACTTGAATGTGTGGCCGGATCTCGTCAAATGAGCCGCAACTTGAGAGCTGGCGTCATTTCTCCGCACCACTGCACCGTGTTTGGCCATTCGCGTTCGGAGTTGTCTTCCGATTTCTCCGACGTTGTTGCTTTGTCCGCAACTGCACCATATCCGATAAACAACTTCAGACGTCTCTTACCGTGGTAGTGGGTCTTTTGGTCTCATCACCTGACGCCTTATGGTAGCCTCCGGTCTGTGTCGAACTCCAACCCCAAGTGGTGCGGCATACGAGAACATCCTCCTGGATAATCATCAAACAGCCATCACACCATGTGCAACAATCCCTGACGAGGGGGGGAGCCGTGAATATTCATAGGTATGCGGTAGCATGGCGCCTGCATTCTATAAATACTGCAGCTCCTTGTGCATGAACCACCCGTTTCTGCTTTCCTGTCTCTGATGATGGGTTCGAGCAGGAATCCGAAACGTCAGGCGAATAAAGCTCCTGTCCCAGCGATCGTGTCTTCTTCTTCTTCAAGTCTGCTTCCTGGGAGTCGTCTCTTCGCTTCTATTGACTTCAGAATCGACGATTTCTCCGGCAGAGGAGACAGGTGGTCTGAGATGAGCAATGAAGTAGTCGTTTGGCTTAAGGGCCGTAGACTGATTTGTGGGTCGCGAAGAATTTTCGTCGCGGACTGAATATCATCTAGCCTCTGCCTCAGCGGCCTTGGTCATATGAGGAATGTATGACATCGGCCCCGTTGTCTGTGTAGATCTTTTTTGAATTGTTTTGCATTGAGGCCAGACGTTTGACATCTCTGTCGTTGTTGTCAACCAACTTTTTGTGCTGTCAGGGTGTGCACCAGTTGCATGAATGGCATCCCACAGTTTCTGCCCCTTGGTCTTAACACCAACCTTCTCCTTCCCTCTCTCCAGAAATTGCCTGCGCCTCAGATCGGTGTTAGTGGGTTTTTGTATTATCCAATAAGCGTTCAGTCATATCTTGTGGTGCAGTATTTGGCCTACCTGATGTGGCCTACGTGGTCAGAGTTGCATTCTGAACTTCGAGACTACGGAGCGATGGTCAGTTCAGCATTCTGCACGCTACATTGCCTCCATCAATTGTGCATCCCTACAAATTTGCCTTCTGACTGAAGTAATGTAATGATGAGGAAAGCGACGACGTTCTATGCATGTTTGCAACAGCAGAAGAAGGTCGCTGCCCGTTGAAGTTAGGAAACAAGCCTTCCCAGATGGTATGACTGGTAGCCATATAGGCAATGGAGATACCGGAGAAAATTAAATCTGTGAGTCTTCGACACACCCAAAAAGAAGAAGATGTTGTGCTCTGTGCATGTTTACAGCATGAGGAGGTCGTTGTCGTTACAGTTACTGGCTACCTAGCGACCCAGCACTCTTTCCCAGAGGGATTTTCTGAGACTACACGGCCAGTGGAGACACCGAGAACAATAAGTCTATGCATCTTCGACACAGCCATAGAACGTTTCCTTCATTTAATCATGAACTGACTATTGTGCCGAATTTTTTGGCCGAGTGGGAGAACTCCATGACTTGCGCACGGTCATTTATTCCAGGCGGTTTAGGATTGTGGAGGCGACTCCAGCATCAAGTCGTCCATTCTTTAGATGTCCGCTTCTGGCCCAACTGATAGCTCGTTCGAACGACATGCTTGATAGCCATCTGACAGAGGGTTCTAATATCAGCTTCACCTGTGCCTGGGTTTGGCTGGCCGACTAAAACCGATAGCGGCTGAGTCAGAAATCGCCATTCTAATTACGCTTAGTTTCGTCTCTTATATGTCTAGCCTACGGATTAGTCATTGTTATGCGATCGCCCGCGAGGACTGTAGGCCAGGATTCCAAGGTAAAACGTAGTCAGACACATTCTGGTCCGCATTTATGACACACCAGTGAACTCCACGCTCCGGTGTTATGGAAGAGTCATTGACGGGAGCCTAAACTTTATTGCCACATGAAGGGCTGCGACTACGGGCTGAGAATCTGTTACCTACGGTCTCCCTGTCACCCGCCAACCATGCCTTTAATTCAGAGTATCGAGTGTATTAATTCTGCCCCTGCTGGAGGTTAGCCATCCTTGGCATCTCTCGCTCTCCCTCTCGCTTAACGCAGTGGGGCATGATATAGGAAACACAACTTCTCGTCCTATAAACTGGGCCCTTGTTCTCCTTAGCAGAAATTTCTGTCCGTTTGATGAAATCATTAATGTGATTACTCTTCCGACAGGCCAGTAGACCAACACATGTCGGCTAGTTCGGTTGCCCGACTGATGTAAATTACCGTTTCATTTTTCTTCGGCCTTCCAGAGTTCAAAAGCGAGAACAATTAGTCTATTCATTTTCGACACAGCCGTGAGGCCGACCGGTCGATTTTTGTAGAACTTGTCCTTCATCTAATCGTGCCGAATTCCCTTCTGTGGATCGGGGAACTCCATAACGTCTTCGTTTTCACAAGAGGGGCTGCGACGTGCTTAGAAGCTGTCACCTGCGGTTTCTATCTTACCCGTCAACCATGCCCTTAATTGCGCATTCCGAGTGTTGAATTTATCCATTCTGCCACTGCCCTATGGTAACCATCACTGGCATCTCTTTCGCTCCACGCAGTGGAGTATGTTTTAGGAAACACCACTTTCCCCTATTTTAGTGAGGACTGTTGTGCCCCCTTGCATGGCCTTCTGGCCGTCCAATCAACGCCTTATTATTTTATTTCGACTGGTTAGTGGACTCACACATGCCGATCAAGGGGGTTACTCGACTCACGGTTTGTTGACGTTGATGATTATGTTGTGGACTAGGGAGTGTGGTAGTACGCCTAAGCGCGGGTTCGGTCGTGCCATCCACCTTTACCTTTCCTTGCTTCTGGTCTTTTTGACTTTGTCTTGACATCGGGTCCAGGTGGGGAGTAGGAGGAGCGAGTGCGGTAGATGCTGTGCAAGTTTGCTACTACTACAAATTAACTCACGCACAAGTCACCGCGTCTGTTTTCACCTTGCCGTGGATCGCGCGGTAGACATCGCCGGCAACGACGGTCGGTCTGCCATATAGCATATTAGATGGTCAACAGAATTTGATTTTACCTGGCTCCTCAGCTGAGTTTGGTTAAATTCAACTTAGAGGGGGGGGAGGGGGGAATCCAAAAATTCACGTCAATCGCAGAATTTTTTGCTCGAGTTATAGTTTCTTTCGCCAGCTGAAGGTCGCTTAGTAGCGACGTGTGAAATGTTGCGGAATCCAATGATCACCAGAGACGCCAAAAATTTGCGCAATTATATGACGGAAAATCGACAACGTAAGTGCCTAGCTTTTAAGTTATTACTTGCTTTAAGCATGGCGGGACGATTTTTTACGTGTATGAAACTACTCAGCCTTGCTGAAATTTTAACCCTTACAGTTTTGTTCAATACCACTGGCACCAATTAAACCCATCTGCTTTTCTCTACCCCAATAACAATGGCGAACCCATAGACACATGTACGTTTTTTCCATCGTTTAAAGACTCTGTTAAACATTTGCTCACAGTGGCTAACAAGGGGAAGGTAACAGATATATATGCTTCCCTAGAAAGTTCCTACTAATTTCGTGTTTTACACTTTATTTATACAAGAACTCCTCTTTTCCTCTCCAAAAATTCCTCATCCGTAAAGTCCTCCTGTTGCTAGCCATGGTAGAGGTAGAAGATGTGTTTTCTCCTACCTCTATCGCCTCATCATATTAAAACAAACATACGGTACAGATAAGGTTTTTTCGTTTATACACCTAAGAACTCTGAGTCTCCCCTCGTAAAAGGGCCAGTTTGAAAAAATCCCCTACTAACACCATTCCCGTGATGTAGTTCAGCGAACCTAGATATCTAGGCAGTATGTTATTGCCGACAAAGACAAGGGAGACTGGAATGACTGGGTATGACTGACTGACGGCGACTAAGGAGCCAGAAATGGTAATAACATACTGCCTATATATCATGCGCCGCTCTGCGTCTGCTGGTTGGGCTAGGGAGAGCGAGCCCGTAAGGCACAACGGAACGAGTGAGTTCCGTAAAAACGATCGAGGAGCGCCCCCTACCAACCCTAGATATCTGTTTATGACCGGGTGAGGCTTCAAAATAACGGAGCTGCTAACTACAGACTAGACCCAGCCAAGCGTTAACTGTTGTCTGCCTTTTAAAGCGGATTAAGATGGTATAATCCGTCCTACTTTGCACGCTGCCGCAGTTGTTTACAGTGAGGTTGGCTTGTATTTTTCACCCACGCAGTGCACATTTCGCCACTGGAGGGGCATGCCTATATTGTTAGTTGCTGGCAAGAAAATGGCCGCCGACTCAGCCTACGTTAGAGTCGTTTTCCGAGACCCCTCCCCAGGCCTCAGTACGAGTCGGCAGTACTATGCACCGAGGAGAAGTCCAGACGTCCGCTGTTTGCCAAAACCGCGCACAGAGGAGATTGTCTTTCTGCTGGAGAGGAACGAGGCCTGCGGCCTGGAGCCGGGTATCTACTGTACCAGTGGATTGCCCTGTCAGCTGAAGGGAACCTTTTTGGAGGAGAATTTCGCCAAAACAAGGGGCCCTCTTGCACCATGGCGCACGGTGCGAGGTGTCTTCTCCAATGTGTTTGAGGTTGCAGATACCACAACTACAACCACGGAACGTCTGCTTATGTACCTTATCGATGACTACCTGAGTCCAATCCCCGATGAAGCATACCCACTGCTGAATCCTACTTCGAGGTACGTCGCTTTAGATGAGGATTGAGTGAACGAAGGAAGGTGTATATTGCACGAATCCAGCTGTTTAAACATTAATGTGTCACAAAATGAAGGCGATGACAGAAGGGATTGGAGGTAAGTCCCGTTCGCTGGTTTTCGCCTAGCGAAGGGCTGGGGAAGTGAGTTGTCAACCCTAGCGGTTGCAAATCATTCACAGACTGTCAACATCTTCTCATCGCTAATGGTCCCCCGCCGCAAGTCCCACTCGGGGTTAGGGACGTGATAGGAGGGGGAATTCCACGGATGAGTACTCAGTGACCTCATTTCCGACGCCGTGCTCACTACAGGCACAATCATCATCATCATCATCATCATCATCATCATCATCATCATCATCATCATCATCATCATCATCATCATCATCATCATCATCATCATCATCATCATCATCATCATCATCACCACCACCACCACCATCATCATCATCATCCTCAGCAGCAGCATAGTCATGACGATCAGTTTTCTTTTGCCATCTAGCAAACTGCCGTTTATGCTTTCTGGTAAGCATCAGGTGATGCTGAGAGCGTCTCTCGCCGTTTCAACTAATTCGTGGATCATATGACTATATAAATAATGGCGTTGACGCCTAACAGTCTTAAAAGCACCTTTTTAGTTCTTTTTTTCCCCTCGGTTTTTTAATCGGTAAACGCGCTTCCTGCCAGTATCTGCGGACTGTTTGTCACTGCTCACAACACAGCGAGGTCAGGTGTGGTTATGTAGCCCCACCCGAAGCAAACAAACCCCAGTCACCTGTAATACGAGACCGGGGGTAATAGGGCTTTTTTACGGCTGGCGCCGGGAATGCACAGGCGACGGGGTCAAGTAGTTGTATGCAAAAGAAAAGCCGTTGGGAATGCGCGGTTGTACTTTAAGTGGTGGAGATATAGTTGCCCTAACCCCCAACACGTTCCCCTAACTTCTACCCCTAGTTCCAAACTCTAATCCTAACCCCTGACCCTTAACTCCAACCCCAACAGTATGGGGTCCATTAGAAGCGAAGAGACGAGTCCCAGGAAGTAGTCTTGAAGAAGGAGACACGATCGCCGGAACAGGAGCTTTATTAACCTGACGTTTCGAATTCCTACTCGAGTCCATCATCAGAGACAAAGAAGCAGAAACGGGTGGTTGTTGCACAAGGGGCTGCGGTATTTATAGGATGCAGGAACCATGCTACCGCATACCGCATACATCCCTATGAAAGAGGGGAGCCGTGAATGCTCATAGGTATGCGGTAGCATGGCTACTGCATCCTCTAAATACCACAGCCCCTTGTGCAACAACCACCCGTTTCTGCTTTTTTGTCTCTGATGATGGATTCAAGTAGGAATCCGAAACGTCAGGCTAATAAAGCTCTTGTCCCGACGATCGTGTCTCCTTCTTCAAGTATGGGGTCCATCAGATGGGGCTGCATAACCATATATTACTCATTGAGGTTTTCTGGGTGTCATATGGTAGGGTCTCCATCCGTAAGTCCTGCATTTTGCCACACAGTATCTGTAAGAATAGCTTGTCCCTATGCTCCCTATTGCCTTCCCAGAATGCCTAAGCAGGCTAAAGGCCAATTGACAGCTGTGGCTGGCCCGGTTATGCCTCCTACAGTAAAAACCCCCTGAAGGATTGTCTTAACCAAGCTGACATGAACGATAACAATGCCACTAGTAGAGCTCTATCGCTGTTGTGGATATCCGTAACGGCTAGACATAACAGAGACATGGCTTAAGACCGGTCTGACTGCGACGAAGACGACGCCGGGTATCTCCAGTCTAGCCTTTTTGTCACTAGCCTCTTTAATACGACACCGAAAGACCAGTTGAACTCCAGACGACGGTCATTGTCGCCTTTTAACACCTCGGAGTCAAAGTGAAGGCTACCGCCTGAAATTCAGTGATTATTGTCGACGCTGACGCACTCAGATCCCTTATTTAATGCACGCCGTAAGTGCCGAGGTTTTTGCGCGCAATAATCTTTGGTTTCATCGAGGAACTTGCATAATGCCCGGATTAGTACAGTAGATGTGCTAACTCATGAAATATCAACCACAATTTAGAAATGCGTTCTCGTTTCGAAAAGATAAATTAAGTAGTGTTGTAAAAGTAATCATGCCGCAGCATAAATCTAAAATGATCCAGTTATCTCAGGGTGTCGGCTTTCGAAAGCACTTATCTTCGGCTGCATGCAAGATCCATACTCTGCAAAAAATAACTACATAAGTAGTATGCAATTTTCTCATTGATGTTCGATGCCCTTGAAAATTCAATTATATTTCATGCAAAACATGCATAAAAATATTCATTCTTTTACTTTATCGGTAGAAAATCTCGTCTTCTTCCAATTTCATGTTCAAAAGAAATGTATAATACGGTTTTACAAAAGTTTCTAACTGGGAGATATTTTAATACCGTTAAATGGCCGTTCGTGAAATGTCATGTATCTGCATTTACAAATGTGGCTTGTAAAGTTGACAATATTGCTCAAATCCACTGCTTAATTTTATGAACCTTATATGGTCTCCTCTTAGCACCGTAGAGAAATGCATGGTTTTCCGTACACGGAAAATATACAGCTTGTAGTTTTGAAACCCTGAATGCAAGTGTAACAGCAGGTCGGTTTCAAAATTATTCGGGAATTAGAAGAGTTTTTTAAAACCGAATTGTACTCTTCGTTTGAGTATGCGGTTGAAAGAAGACGTAATTTTCTACTGAATGAGTTAAAGAATGGATATTTTTATGCATGTTTTCCATAAAATATAATTGAATATTTAAGGGCGTCGAAAATCAATGAGAAAATTGCATGCTACTTGTGTGGTCATTTTTTGCAGAGTATAGATCTTGCATGCAGCCGAAAATAAGTTCTTTCGAAAGCCGACACCCTGAGGTAACTGGATCATTATAGATTTATGCAGCATCATGATTAGTTTTACAACACTACTTAATTTATCTTTTCGAAACGATAACGCATTTGGAAATTTTGGTCGACATTTCATGAGTTAGCACATCTGCTGTACATTTTCAGGGAAGAGACCGGCAGAGGTACTTAGGAGCGGACACGATAAAATGGACACCCAAGCATTATAGGCGGTTCTTGTCTCCCTGTCCCACGCCTAACCAAGAATTTGAACGACTTTTAAAGTGTAACGAAGTGTTCGAGAAGACGTTTCCTGAGGGTTTCCTATCTGGCCTAGGAATCCAGTCCGGGGAGTGGGGATTCCTTTGCGATGTCTCCTTAATTTGACATTAGAATATACGAGTGTATGAGGTCAAGCCCACCAATAGCTTCATGTGCTATGTCCTACCTTGAGAGCAAAGCAGCGAAATGAAGCATCTTTGCATCTGTTCGTATTTGTTTGCGCACACCGTTACCATATCCATCGTTCAAAAGTCAGACATCGACAGAATTAAATCGGCAGCTTCGACGCATTTCAGTAAATACTTAATACTTTTGGGATTCCGACATTTCGCGCGGAGTTTTATGTCACATTGGCCTAAGATCGTGTCAAAATTGTGATTAGTCGACATCATTAAATACTTTTCCCTAAAAGTAGATACAGTTGGGGATCTGTATAAGGTCCAGATGGCTACACTGTCGGCAAAGGAGCCGAAAGGGATACTCAGGTCAGCCACGAAAATATGGACACACCAGCATCACAACAGACCTCGCGCTAAATTTCAGGGGTTCCTACTTGCGTAAATATGACTTGATTTTCTACCAAATGAGTGAAATAAAGTATACTTTTGTGCATGTTTCCCATAAGATATATTTGGATTTATAGAGCCGTCGGAGATCAGTGTTGAAAATTCATACCACTTAAGTAGCCGTTCTTTACGGAGTGCTGTTGGTAATAACGCCTATTCGGCTGCTTTGTCCTGCAATTAAAGACTTTATCCACCTTATTGGCTGCTTTACAACTCAGATTGTGACGTGGTTGGGTGGCATAGGAGGAAATTTGCTACGCGATAACTATCCGAGTGGATGACTCCACTTATGACACTAAAATGCACCTAGATATAAATCCTCTAGTAGGCGATAAACGTGACTTTGAGGGCAACAACTTGTCATGCTAATTTCGAGAATACATTTTCGCGAAAGAAGTCCCTTGTCCTGCCAAGAAGGTCCTATTCTGCGTAAATTGTTTGAAAAACTGAAGGGCATTTTGTCATCGAGATTTCTGATTTCTAGATTAATCAATGGATGATAGCGAAGAGGAGGGACTAAGAAACACACAGGGCAGATATACTTCTTTTTTCCTATAGAGCTAGTTGAGCTTCAAGAGCGGCAAAATTCTGAAATGGTTTTAATTTCCATTGTCAAAATGTTTGTTAAACCTAAATATATCCAGTAGGTGGGCTAACTTATGAAATGCCACCCGAAATTCCAAAATTCGTTTGCGTTTCGAAAAGATTGATTAAGTAGGGTTATAAAACCAATCATAGCGCAACGTTATTCTATAATATTTCAGTTACCTTAGGATGTCGGCTTTCGCATGAACTTCTTTCCGACAGCATGTGAAACTACACTCTGTAAAAAATGACTGCTAATTTAGCATGAATTTTAATATTCGATGCCCCTAAAAGTCCAATTATATTTCATGGAAATCACGCATAAAAGTATTCATTCTTTTGCTCGTTCGGTAGAAAATTACGTCTTCTTCTATCTTATACTCGAAGGAGAAACAATACGATTTTAAAAAGTTTCTAATTGTGGGACTTTTAAATACCGTGAAATGGCCGTTCATAAATCGTCATGTCTCTGCATTTACCAATGTGGATTGTAAAGTCAACATTATGAATCAAATCCACTGCTAAATTTTATGAACCCTATATGGCCCCTTTATATTACGGTACAGAAGTGTGTGGTTTTCCGTACGTGGAAAATATACGGCTTGTAGTTTAGAAACCCTGAATCCAAGTGCAACGGTAGAGCGGGTTCAAAATTATTCGGGAATTGGAAAAGTTCTTGAAAACCGAATTATACCATTGCTTCGAGCATAAGATGGGAAGAAGACATAATGTTCTACCGAGTGTGCAAAAGGATGAATAGGCAGAATGGTATTACCGACAAAGACAAGGGAGACTGGAATGGGCATTTCTGGCTTATTAGCCATCGCCAGCCAGCCATACCCGAGCCCGAAGTATGGAACACCCGCGCCTCGAACTCGCGACCTGTTGGTTTAGAAGTCCACGCCTCTACCCACCCGGCCAAGAGCCCGTTGCCCTGTCGGCTTTCGATCGGGAATATACAATAGTAGGGCTCGGATGTGGCTGGCTGACGACGGCTAATAAGCCAGAAATGGCCATTCCAGTCTCCCTTGACTTTGTCGGTAATACCATTCTGCCTATATATCACGCGCCGCTGTGCGGCTGCTGACTGGGCTCGAGAGGGAGCCCTTAAGGCACAACGGAACGAGTGAGTTCCGTATGAACGATCGGTGAGCGCCCCCTACCATTGTATATTCCCGATCGAAAACCAACAGGGCAACGGGCTCGTGGCCGGGTGGGTAGAGGCGTGGAC